ATGGAAAATGGAGTCTGTCTTGGAAAAATTCACCATGTGGAAAAGGGATCACATGGAAATACGGGACTGATCTTAGAGAAATAGTAGAAACATATGAAAAGCTAAATTGCCATGATAACTGTGTGAAAGCAGCTACCTTTATTGACAATTCTATTCATGCTAATAATGATAATGTTGTAGATAGGAGTGTGAAATATGATCTGAAACAAAGTGAAATAAATGAGATAGTACCTTGGAGAGATAAATTTGCATACTCCAGTGACACATATGTAGAACATAGTCATAAGACTGAAATTTCTGAGTTTCCTGTAAGACTATATTTGGAGTGTTTTCATTTTTGTCCAGAAATGTGTTCTTATTACTTTTACATGTTTGGTGTAATTAATACCATAAATCTCAAGTGTCATACATTTTACTTTGAAAAAATGCCATTGATCTTCAATCTATTGCATTTTTTTTCTTGGAGGTGGAAGTGTTACGTACTCCTAGCAGAATACGTATATAAATTTAAAATAACTTGTTTTGTTCCATTATATCATTGCCTGTATATGTACACACATTGTGTTTTTGTAAATTATCGTGTGGTGTGGCAGCGTCAGTGGAGACAGGAGCGCGGTTGCTTTGCACACGTCTAATACCTGTTAGATTCGGGAAAGCTGGACCTGTTCAGTTGGGAGTTCCAGATGTCACTTTTATTTAGTTTAGGTAATTGTTTATTTTCTGCAATTAAACAGGTGGCATTGTACTTATATATTTTGTAAGTAACTATTATCTGTAATTTGCATTCTTGTGTGTTTTGAGAACAAGTGGTTGTTCAATTAGTTTTAAATATTAAAAAGTCCTTAGTTTCCATCCCTCATCCTGGGATGAGGCAGACGGGAGGTGAGAATGTGGGTAGCGACAGAGCGAGAGTTCAGTAGCTTCACGGGACCAGGAGAAATAACATGTGGGAGATAAGTCTGTTACTTCTTGTTGTGCCATATTTTATTATACTATATTAGGAGAAGGACAATACTTTTGTTTGTTGTATAAGTTAACTTGACCATCTGTGTTTTTATATTATACTGTCTTGAATATATATCTATATAATATTTTGTATCTATTCTTCAGTCCTAAAGGAAGATTTTTATTTATGTGCTCATTACTTATCAAGGGGTTATACTGGTGACCCGCTTTTGAGAACAGCAGTTTTCTCGTATCCCTAGACGTAATTAAAGCTTGGCTGCTGTAGGGTCACGAGCCGTAACGAACGATAGGTAACATCAACTAGGTGAGTACACACACTCACACACACACACACACACACACACACACACACACACACACACACACACACACACACACACACAAGTCACTCGGGATGGTAAGACAACAGAATGAAGCTGGAGGAGAGGGACTGGACGAGTCATACATGGAGATGATTGCTAAGGCATGGAAGGAAATCAGTGGGGAATTGAAGGACCTGAGGGAAACTATATGTAAGTTCCAGATAGAACTAAGTGCAGCCCAAGAGGAGATAAAAAGCCTGAAAACAGGCCCTCATCAGACACTGGTACAGACAACCTACCCTGAGGTACCAGGAGATGTAGGAATGGCAGGGACCCCTACAATTGGTCCAACCTTTGCTGAAGTGCTGAAGAGCCCAGGAGCAATGTCGACAGTCAAGGAAGTTGTAATGAAAGCAGTAACCTCACAGGAGGCTGCTAGATGCACAAGCCAGCTAATGGAAAGGAAAAGAGCTGTAGTAGTGGTGGGTGTGAAGGACCAAGAGTACTCTACAAGGGAGGAATCGAGGATTAAAGACAAAGCTGCAGTAGCAGGGATATTAAGGGGAATAGGAATGGAAGGGGCTGAACGAGACATAGAACAGTTTTTCCGGATTGGCCAGCACAACAGAGACAAAAAGAGATTGATCAAGGTAGTATTCAAGAGCGAGGTCATCAAAAAGGACATCCTAGTAAAGAAGAGCAAACTGAGATATGCAAGGAATTACAAAGAGGTATATGTTCAGAGAGACATGACCAGAGACGAGATAGGGCAGCAGATGCAAGAAAAAGGCGCAAGGAGAGGGAAGAGAGCCAGGGAACCTCAGCCTCCAACCTAGCAATCCCAGAGGGGTGTGAGGAACCCCAATCCAGCAGCCCAGGAACCCCAGGGGATAATGCAACACCTCATCCCACCACCCAATAGGGCTTCTTCTATCCCCCAGCACAATCCCTTCCTTGCTCCAGCACAATGCCCATCATGAAACCCAAATCCTCCCCCCTCCCCTTACCCCATGTATCCCCTGCTTTCCCAGCCCCTGGTCTTCTTCCTGCCCCAAGCAGGCCTGGGCAAGACCAAAGCCCTCCATCCCCCGCTCCCCCTGAACCCCTGGCAACTACCTCACAGGAGGATGAGCCTACCCAAGTAGCAATGACCATGGAACAACTTCCTACACCTGTGGGGAGTGAGGATGATATTGAATATAAGAAAGTGAGCTTCAAGGTAATGTACTCAAACATTGACGGGATTACCAATAAATCAAGAAACTGGCAGAAAGGGCGCAAGAAGAAAACTCTGATGCAATAGGACACACGGAAACAAAGGAGTCATAACAGATGCTGTGTTTCCAAAGGACTACTATATAGTAAGGAAAGAGAGGGAAGGGAGAGGAGGTGGAGGAGTGGCCCTGCTGATAAGGAAGGACTGGAGTTTTGATGAGATGAAAATTACAGGCTGTGACGGATTCAGAGATTACATAACAGGAACTATAACAATGGGTGGACCTAAGATAATAGTGGCAGTCATTTACAACCCTCCCCTAAATGACAGAAGACCTAGACAGGAGTTTGATAGGAACAACATGGCAACCATTAATATAATAGAGAGAGCAGCTTCAGTTGCCTGCAGGAATGACTCAAGACTCTTAATCACGGGCGATTTCAACCATGGAAAGATAGACTGGGAGAATGTGAACCCACATGGTGGTGCAGATACGTGGAGAGCTAAACTCTTGGAAGTAGCAACAAGGAACTTTCTGAGACAACATGTCAAGGAACCCACAAGAGTGAGAGGCAATGATGAACCAGCTAGACTCGACTTGATATTCACCCGGAATGAGTCAGAAATAAGGGAAGTCAAAGTTGAAGCCCCCTTAGGAATGAGTGACCACAGTGTACTGACCTGTGAGTACTTGGTGGAGGTAGGGATAACCTATCCAAGGATGGGATCAGAGGGAAAAAGAATAAATTACCGAAGAGGAAAGTATGACGAGATGAGGAACTTCCTCAGGGGAATACCATGGGAAACAGAACTTGGAGACAAGACTGTGCCGGTCATGATGGATTTTGTCACCCGGAAGTGCCAGGAAGCTGCAGATAGGTTTATACCCATGCAAAAGGAGAAAAACGAAAAACAACAGAAAAACCCATGGTTCAACCAGGAATGCAAGGTAGCGAAGCAACTGAGTAAAAGAACATAGAGAAACTACAGAAATAACAGAACACCGGAGAGCAGTGAGAGATACCAGAGGGCCAGAAATGAGTACCTCTGAGTGAGGAGGGAAGCAGAGAGACAGTTTGAAAATGACCTCGCGAGTAAAGCCAAGACCCAACCAAAGCTGCTCCACAGCCACATCAGGAGGAAAACAGCAGTGAAGGAACAAGTGATGAAGCTGCGAAAGGGGAGAACAGATACACAGAGAATGACAAGGAAGTGTGTGAAAAACTCAACAAGATATTCCAGGAGGACTTCACAATAGAACATGGAGAAGCCCCTGCACTAAATGAGGCAGTAAACCAAGCAATCTTGGAGGAATTTGACCTCACCAGTGATGAGGTCAAAAGGTGTCTGCTGGAGCTGGATGTGACAAAGGCTGTTGGGCCTGACAGAATCTCACCATGGATACTAAAGGAAGGTGCAGATGCACTAAGTGTGCCACTCTCAATGGTGTATAACAGGTCACTGGAAACAGGAGACTTACCAGAAAGTTGGAAGACAGCTAACGTGGTCCCAATATACAAGAAGGGTGACAGGCAAGAGCACTGAACTACAAGCCCAGTTTCCCCTAACTTGTAATTCCTGCATGGTGATGGAGAAGATCATGAGGAAAAGGCTCGTAGAGCATCTATCGGGAAATAACTATGTAACGCACCACCAACATGGGTTCAGGGATGGTAAATCGTGCCTCACAGGTTTAATAGAATTCTATGACAGGGCAACAAAAATTAGGCAGGAAAGAGAAGGGTGGGCCGACTGTATTTTCCTGGACTGCCAGAAAGCCTTTGACACAATACCCCATAAAAGGCTGTTAAAAAAGTTGGAGCAACTGGCAGGAGTAAAAGGGAAGGTGCTCCAGTGGATAAGGGAGTACTTAAGCAACAGGAAACAGCGAGTAACGGTGAGGGGGAGACATCAGAGCGGCGAGATGTCACCAGCGGAGTCCCACAGGGCTCAGTACTTGGACCCATCCTGTTTCTAATATATGTAAATGATCTTCCAGAGGGTATAGACTCATTCCTCAAAATGTTTGCTGATGATGCAAAAATTTTGAGAAGAATCAAGACGGATGAAGATAGACAGAGACTACAGGATGACCTGGACAAACTGGAGAAGTGGTCTAGAAAATGGCTGTTAAAGTTCAACTCATGAAAGTGTAATGTAATGAAATTAGGCGAAGGAAGCAGGATGCTGAACACAAGGTATCATCTGGGAGGTGAAATCCTGCAGGAGTCAAATAGAGAGAAGGATCTGGGGGTTGATATCACACCGAATCTGTCTCCAGAGGCCCACATCAAAAGAATATCATCAGCGGCATATGCTAGACTAGCCAACATAAGAACTGCCTCTAGAAACTTGTGTAAGGAATCTTTCAGAACCCTGTATACCGCTTATGTAAGACCAGTCCTGGAGTATGCAGCTGAAGCCTGAAGTCCATACCTAGTTAAACACAAGACAAAATTAGAGAAGATTCAGCGGTATGCCATCGGGCCCTGTGTGATCAGCTTCACACTGCAGACCATCGGGCCCTGTGTGATCAGCTTCACACTGCAGACCATCGGGCCCTGTGTGATCAGCTTCACACTGCAGACCATCGGGCCCTGTGTGATCAGCTTCACACTGCAGACCATCGGGGCCTGTGTGATCAGCTTCACACTGCAGACCATCGGGCCCTGTGTGATCAGCTTCACACTGCAGACCATCGGGCCCTGTGTGATCAGCTTCACACTGCAGACCATCGGGCCCTGTGTGATCAGCTTCACACTGCAAACCATCGGGGCCTGTGTGATCAGCTTCACACTGCAGACCATCGGGCCCTGTGTGATCAGCTTCACACTGCAGACCATCGGGCCCTGTGTGATCAGCTTCACACTGCAGACCATCGGGCCCTGTGTGATCAGCTTTTGCCAGTAACTGATTTATGTGCAATATAGGTTTATGTATTACATTGTAGGCCTATGTACAGTACTCATTCACTGCTTTTGTCAATTATGCATAAATAAATTGAGCTATTACACACACACACACACACACACACACACACACACACACACACACACACACACACACACACACACACACACACACACACACACACACACACACACACACTGTAAATTGAAGTGATATGAACATATAAACCAACTAACATGATCATCATAGCTCTCCCCCCTACAACGTGAGTCAGCAAAATTGAATTGCACGAATCCATGGTCCTAATGACCCCCCCCCCTCACCCAGTTTACTTAATGTATGAAAGAAAAAGAAAAATTCGATACTTAGATTTTTCTCTGAGGGCTCCCTTGGTGCCTCCCTGTTCCTAACCACCTTGATAGCTCAACACATCACGTCACACACTTATGTGTCATTAAAAGCCTATCGGACACCACAGGCCAAAACCTGGTCCTTTCATGAATGCGCAGGGAGCTGGGGATGCTAGATCACTGGGGGGGGCCTCGTAGCCTGGTGGATAGCGCGCAGGACTCGTAATTCTGTGGCGCGGGTTCGATTCCCACACGAGGCAGAAACAAATGGGCAAAGTTTCTTTCACCCTGAATGCCCCTGTTACCTAGCAGTAAATAGGTACCTGGGAGTTAGTCAGCTGTCACGGGCTGCTTCCTGGGGGGTGGAGGCCTGGTCGAGGACCGGGCCGCGGGGACACTAAAAAGCCCCGAAATCATCTCAAGATAACCTCAAGATAAGATGCCACCAGGCTCGTCCCGGAACTGAGAGGAATGAGCTACGACGAAAGGCTAAAGGAGCTGAACCTCACATACCTGGAAAACAGAGGAGTAAGGGAAGACATGATAACCACCTACAAAATTCTCAAGGGAATTGACAGGGTGGACAAAGACAAACTCTTCAGCACGGGTGGGACACGAACAAAGGGACACAGGTGGAAACTTAGTACCCAGATGAGCCACAGAGATGTTAGAAAGAATTTTTTCATTGTCAGAGTAGTTAATAAATGGAATGCACTAGGAAGTGATGTGGTGGAGGCTGACTCCATACACAGTTTCAAATGTAGATATGATTGAGCCCAGTAGGCTCAGGAATCTGTACACCAGTTGATTGACAGTTGAAAGGAGAGACTAAAGAGCCGAAGCTCAACCCCCGCCAGCACAATTAGGTGAGTACACACACACACACATACACACACACACACACACAGATAGGTGTAGGGAGCAGGAGGCCAGATACAAGGTATCATCTGGGAGAGGAAATTCTTCAGGAGTCAGAGAAGGAAAAAGACTTGGGGGTTGATATCACGCCAGACCTGTCTCCTGCAGCACATATCAAGCGGATAACATCAGCGGCATATGCCAGGCTGGCCAACATACGAACGGCATTCAGAAACTGGTGTAAAGAATCATTCAGAACTTTGTATACCACATATGTCAGGCCAATCCTGGAGTATGCAGCCCCAGCATGGAGTCCATATCTAGTCAAGGATAAGACTAAACTGGAAAAGGTTCAAAGGTTTGCCACCAGACTAGTACCCGAGCTGAGAGGTATGAGCTACGAGGAGAGACTACGGGAATTAAACCTCACTTCGCTGGAAGACAGAAGAGTTAGGGGGGACATGATCACCACATTCAAGATTCTGAAGGGGATTGATAGGGTAGATAAAGACAGTCTATTTAACACAAGGGGAACACGCACAAGGGGACACAGGTGGAAACTGAGTGCCCAAATGAGCCACAGAGATATTAAAAAGAACTTTTTTAGTGTCAGAGTGGTTGACAAATGGAATGCATTAGGGGGTGATGTGGTGGAGGCTGACTCCATACACAGTTTCAAGTGTAGATATGACAGAGCCCGATAGGCTCAGAAATCTGTACACCTGTTGATTGACGGTTGAGAGGCGGGACCAAAGAGCCAGAGCTCAACCCCCGCAAACACAACTAGGTGAGTACAACTAGGTGAGTACAGATGGAATCTCCCCTTAGATACTAAAGGAAGGAGCAGAAGAACTGTGCCTACCACTCTCCATAGTGTATAACAAATCTCTGGCAACAGGGGAACTGCCAGAAATTTGGAAAGCAGCTAACGTAGTCCCGATATACAAGAAAGGGGATAGACAGGAGGCACTGAATTACAGGCCAGTGTCCCTAACCTGCATACCATACAAGCTGATGGAGAAGATTGTGCGAAGTTAACGTAAGTGTTAACGTAAGATTTTTATAAGGGGTTATCATTCTTGGATTAACCGCCTTGTTACTTGGTACCTCGTTGAGGGCAGCGAGCGCCAGTCAAGTTTTGTGATTATAGTATTGGCCACCGTGAAGCCGTGACAATATTGATTGCAAGCTTGCGTCACCAGTGGGCACCACTTTGTTCAGTTAGTGTCATTGTTCAGTCAGCGACGACGGGATAAGGATACCGTGGATCCATCAGGCTGTTGATTAGCTGTTCTTGAATGTGCCACTGGAGTGACAGTAAAGTAACGTAAAGTCACTGTGTAGTAGTATTAGTTATTTGTGAATAAATTGTTTGTTATAGAAAACGGTCGTTTACGTCAAACCTTCCAATATTACTGCCCGACATTTCATGTTCTGCAACGCTTTGCCTGCTTATGTTCATATCAAGTCTGTATCTAAAGCTCGAGTCCATTGCACAGCACCACACTTCTATAAATAAGAAGTGAGAATCCGTCGGCTACCCTTTATTAGTTGTCAACTAGGAGGAGCCAGCGACCTAAGTGACAGGTGTTACCCGTGTGGTTTCGCCTGGCGGTTTGCTCCCGCGGTCCTATGATCTTAGGCTTTAAGATTAAATATCTGCCACTGGCAGCTCTTGCTGTTTATGGTCTGCCTCTCTTGCGAGGTAGTTACGATTAACGTAACATCCATAGGACTTAATTCTTTTGATAATTGTCAAAGAAAAAAAATCTCACACGGATCAACAGGTATGCCCCACACACATGGATCAACATGTATGCCCCAATCCCCACAAACCCACGGGTCATCAGGTATGTCCCACACACATGGGTCAAGAGGTATGCCTCCATACAGACACACGTGTCAACAGCTATTCCCCACACACACATACGGGTCAGCAGGTATGCCCTACACACACACACACTGGTCAACGGTTAGTCAACACACACACACACACGGGGTCAACAGGTATGCCACACATGCACACGGGTCAACAAGTATGCCCCACACACACACATGGGTCACCGGGTATTCCCTACACACACACACACAGTAGTCAACAGATATGCCTCCCACAAACACGGGTAAACAGATATGCGCCCCCCCCCACACACAGATCAATTGGTACGACCCCCCCCCCACACACGGGTCAATTGGTATGCCCCCACACACACGGGCCAATAGGTATGCCCTCCCCACACATAAGGGAAAACAGGTATGCCCCCCACAAACACACACACACACACACACACACACACACACACACACACACACACACACACACACACACACACACACACACACACACACACACACACACACACACACACGCAGGTCAACAGATATGCCACACACGCACACGGCTCAACAAGTATGCCCCCTACACACACGGATCAATAGGTATGCAACACACACACACACACACACACACACACACACACACACACACACACACGTTTCATCAGGTATGCCCCACACACACACACGGGTCAACAGGTATGACCCTCACACGCGGGTCAACAGGTATGCCCCACACACACGGGTCAACAGATTTACCCCCCCCCCCAACACACACAGGTCAACATGTATGCCACACACTCACGGGTCAACAGGTATGCCCCCACACGGGTCAACAGGTATGCCCCACACACACAAAGCTCTGCAGGTATGGCCCACACACACGGGTCAACAGGTATGGCCCAAACACACGTGTCAACAGGTATTTCCCACACTCACACACAAGGGTCAACAGGTATGCTCCCACACACGAGTTAATTGGTATGCCCCACACACACTGGTCAACAGGTATGCCCACACACAAGGGTCAAAAGGTATGCCCCAAGCACACTGGTCAACAGGAATGCCCCCCACACACACAAGTCAACAGGAATGCCCCACATACACCCGGGTAAACAAGTATGCCCCACACACACGTGTCAACAAATAAGCCCCACACACACACACAAACGGGTCAACAGGTATGCTCCCTTAACATATGGGTCAACAGGTATGCCCCTCACACACACACCCGGGTCAACAGGTATGCCCCCCCACACACACGGGTCAACAGGTATGCCCCACACACACACACACACGCCACTCGGGTCAACAGGTATGCCCCACACACACATGGGTCAACAGGTATGCCCGACACACACATGGGTCAACAGATATGCCCCCACGCACACATGGGTTAACAGGTATGCCCAACACACACGCGGTCAGCCGGTATTCCCCTCAATCATAGGGGTCAACAGGTATGCCCCACACAAACCCGGGTCAACGTGTATGACCCACAAACACACGGGTCAACAGGTATGCCCCACACAAACACTAGTCAACAGGTATGCCTCAGACACACACACACACGGGTCAACAGATATGCCACACACACACGGATCAACACGTATGCCCCATACAAACACGGACTAAAAGGTATGATCAACCCATATGGTTCAAATGGTATGCTCCAAATACACGGAATAAAAAACATAAACAAACCCACACGGGTCAACAGGTATGCCTGATATATACGGGGTCAACAGGCATGCCCCAAACTCACAAGGGTCAACAGTCATGCCCCACACGGGTCAACATGCATGCCACCCACACACACGTGTAAACATGTATGCAACATGTATGCCCCAATAATACGGGACAACAGGTATGCCAGAAACACACGCATGGGTCGACAGGTATGCCAGAAACACAAACATGGGTCAACAGGT